TTCAAGGGGGCGTTTAGACCCAGCCCTCACACCTGCACTGGCTGCTGCCCCAGAGCCTCTCAGGAATGGGGCAGAGGGGAGATGTCCCCTCCACTCCCTCCTGCCTTGCTGCCCCCCTGGCACCTGCCCGGTGCAGAGCACCCGTACAGCACCCACCCCAGGAGCAGGCAGGGCGAGCACCCCAGGGAGCAGAGGACCTGGAGCATCCTCCCCTGAGGAACTCCATCATGAGCAATGGGCCTGGCAGAGCGATGCAAGGCAGGATGGAGGTCAATGAGAAACAACTTGCTTTGGTGGCACCATGTCTGGCACAAGCCAAACCCACCAAGGTTTTCGGGCAAAGTAAGCGGTGGGGTCACATTTGGACCACCAAAGCACCTGGAAGCCCCCCAGCCAGCCCCATGCTGCATCTCTGCATCCTGCCAGCAGCACCAGGGGCTACCCTGGCAGCTGTGGGGTCCCTTCCCCAGGCCTTCATGGGGGGACACCAGCCCCAAATAATGCAAAAGCCACAAGAGCTTCCGTGTGCCTGGGCTAGGAAAGCTGAGGGGAGGAGAAACCTTCTTACGACAAGGCAAACACTGATCTCTAATAAATGAGTAACAGCCCGGCGAGCTGCCTGCGCACTACCAGCCATACTCACCTTATCTGCCCCGAACAAACAAGCCCTGAACTTTGCCTGCCGCCCGACTCTGGGCACGGCAGGGATTGGAGCCGGGAGCACGGCTGGGCAGGGACACTGCTTATCGCAGTGCTGCCAGCCAGCCCCAGCTAACGTTTAACCAGCGCCAGCATCAAGCCAGCACAGAGAGGGAAAAATAATAACAATAATAAATCAAGCTGTGGGGCTGAGCAGGGTTCCCAGTGGGGCAGGGGGGAGCTGCCTCCCCTGCTGCCAGGGCTGGGCTCCTCTGCTTTCTCCAGGGGAGCAGCTACACCCATTTCCAAAGACTCCTTTACCCGAGATAAGATTTAACTTTGTCCTAAAGGTCATTTAATCAGTTAGCTGTAAGAGTGAGTTAATATTTTACTTGAAGGGCTGCTCTATTTTTTTTTATTTTTCATACCTAGGGTAGAGGAGGAAGAGCAAGAAGGAACTTCAGCCATCCTCAGATCGTCAGCCCAGGCTGCACCTGCACCAAACCTCCCCAAACCCACCACTTCCTCCCCCAGCAGGGTGCAAGTTCAAAGTGCTGGGAGAAGGCGAGGGCTGGGGCAGGAGGGAGGGAAGGTCTCGGTCTGTGGGACCTGACAGTTGGGCTGGGGGTGGTTGGTTTGCTCAAGGCAAACTCTTCCATGGGAAACAGGGAAAAGCCAGGAGGGGAAATGCTGCAGAGAGCTCTCTGTGCGGGAGGGAGACAAAAGTGGGCGAGGAAGAGGCTGAAAAGCAGCAGCAGCAGCTCCAATGAAATCCGAGGTTTAAGAGAAAACCTCTCCAGGAAAGCCCAGCCCACCGCCAGGTACGAGCTCCCAAGCCCCTCAGCGCCTCACCTACTGCCCAGCTCAGGGGGGCTGACATAGGACCCGAAATATGGTCCCAGCTCCTGCCCCGGCTGGCGATGCTGGGGGAGACGGGTGGGGCAGGCAGGATCCGGCGGGGGGGCGACGGCCACCCCGCCAGTGGGGTGAAGGCAGGAGGCAGCTGCTCTAATTGCAACCTGCGGTATCCACAGGGGCCAAAGCCCACCCTCCTGCTGCCGGCTGCCGGGCTCCCCCGGGATGCAGCCACGACAAGGCTCCCGCTTTTTTTTTATGGGTTTGCTGGTTCCCGGGAACGCCAAGAGAGCAGCGGGGTGGCAGAGGCATGCGGGCGTGCGTAAGCGCACCGGGGAGCAAGCAAGCAAGCTCCGGTCAGGTCTAACTAGGTTTACTGGGTCACGATGGAAGCTGTGTGAGTGTGACTGTGGCGCCAGCCAGCCGGCACAGCACACCCAAACGAGCTGGCCCGGTCAGCACCTCCTTAAAATCCCCACGACCAGCGTCTCTGGAAGCGCAAAAAGCTTTTGATGAGTGAATTTCCCGACGGCAGGTCTCGCCAACCTGGATCCGGCCAAAGAAACCAGTCAAAGCTGCTGCACCCCTTGACGGCCGCTGCACCGGGAGCTTCTGCTGGCCACGGACACCCCTTCCCGCTGTCCCATAGTCCTCAAAGCCACAAGGCAGCAAAACCTGGGAGCAAGAGCCAGCCGCAAGCTGCGGTGCTGCACTGTCATTGGGGCTGGCAAATACGGAGAGACCTCACTGGGGTCTTATGGGCCCCCATGGCTACTTCCTCAGCCGCACAGCCAAAGCCATGTCAGCTTTTTAATTTAAGGAGAACCCAGGAGAAATGATAGAAATGCTGGGTGGGAGCAGCCCTCCTCCACCTCACCCCCAGCATCCATCCTGGATGGCAGGACAGAGCTTTGCAGAGCAGGATCAGATGCTTCCCCATCCCGCTGCTCTGTGGACAGCTTGTGCTTGCTCCACCAAGCTCTAGGAAAGCCCAAGCAGGCTCCCAGAATGGCTGCCGGACCTTTCCTCCCCTTTTGGGCTGCCCCCCCTCAACATCATGCATTCCTATGAGCAAGCGCCACTGGCTTCCTGATGGGTGCCAGGATTTCCAGCGGGTCTCCTCCGGGTTACAGGGTTGCAAAACAGCCTCAGCAAAACTCCCGGCAGGGACCGCACCAGGAAACACCGTTTATGCCTCGCTTTTTTACAGCAGCCCAGCCCAGGTGCTCCAAACCCTGCGCCACCGATTCACCTTTACTCATCGGGGCCAAGCCTGGCATGTGATTGCCCCTAGCCCCCAAGCCGCTCGCTCCCCCAGCCATGTTCCCACCAGCCCAGCACCGTTTTACCACCCAAGGGACCCATGCAAGTTGCCCTCGGGTTCAGCTGAAACGGCCTGACCCGTTCCCGGCGCGGGGGAAAGGCGCCTGCCCTGGGTTTTTTTAGGTGCACCCGGCCCCCAGGCGGGGGAACGAGCCAAGGAATTACAGGAAAAGAGGTGAAGCCGGCCTGGGTCTGGCTGGGAGCACGGTGCATTTTGGGCCCCCCGTTTCCCCAGAGCTGGCAGACCTTGGGTGGGAAATCCTGCGAGATGCGGGAAGAGGCACCGGGATGGAGGTTGCCAGGCAACTTTAATTCAGCCCTTGACGAACTTCCAGCACTTTGCTTCTGCTGCAGAGACCAACCAGCAAATGATAAAACATCCGCAGGTCCACCCCAGCCCGCAGCGTCCATGTCTCCATCCATCCATCACAGCCGCTCGCTCATGGCCTTGTCCCCGGGGTGCCCTGTGAGGCGACGGGTCCCCCAGCAGCATCCCCGAAGGCCAGCCTGGGACAAGCCGCCCTTCCCGGCAGAGATCGGCAGGGTCCGGATTTGACCCGTGGGACTGGGCTGGCACTGCTGCATGAATATTTCTCAACCAGCTGGGATTTTTGTCAACAACAGCAAGAAAAAAATGCTAACTTGTGGAAAGCCCTGCGGGAAGAGGGGATCCGTGCCGGATTTGGGGGCTGGGGACAGGGAGGGAGGGAGCGCAGTGACCTCGCGGGAGCCCCTCGACAAGTTTATTTTAGTTGCTTTCTTTAAACAAAACCATGCTCGACCC